CATCAAATGGTCTGAACGACAAGGTAAAAATGGCTTGGAACGTGTTAACTTATCTCTTCCCTCTCGCGTATCGTCGTTACGTTAATACCGCGAGCCTTCGATACGATTTATTTTTCGTTCGCTCCCTTTCTCAATTTTTTTCTTTTTTTCTCTTTTTTATTTTTTCTTTTCCCGCAGAAAATAGTAATCTTCCCTTTTCGTCTCAATAAATTGAATCGTACAGCAAACTGGCACAATAGTAAAAAGTTTCTACGATAGCAAAAATCGGGAGCTGATGGTGGGCGAAAGTGTATTTTTTAATAAATTTCCACAGAGGGGAAAGAGATGGGTTCGAGAAGTTTCGGGCAGTCCGTCTTGAATTTTCCCGCGCGCGGTGGCTCCTGTTTTCCCGTTTTTACACGTTTCTCGTGTTATCTCGATCCTTTATGAAATTTCGCGAACTGTGCTCGACACTCTGTCACGTCAGAGCGCTGCATTTTGCAGGATCAAAGAATCCCGGGAAACTTGAGAAATTCAATTCCACCATTTTCATTCCCGCTCCACGCGAAGAATTACGAATTACCGAATTCTACATCCTACGCGCCTCAGTTTCTTGTTTCTTGTTTCTTCATTTTCGCGTTTATAATCAGTCTGCGAAGCTTTAAAGTTTATGAATTATCCACTCGTTTCAAAGGCTTTGAAACTTTTCGTCGACCACCGAGAGTTTCGGAATACTTTTACAATTCACTCAGAATATTTTTCACAATACTTGTCCGCCTCGTTCGACATTTGCGAACAACACAAGCCGAGATATAAAGAACTTGAACTTAAAATTAAAAAAAAAAGGAGTTCCTCGAAACACAGTCGATAAAACAGATAAAACTCGGCGCACCACGTTAAGAAACGAAAGATTTTCATCCAGCGTGCGTTGTATAAATCAGGGTGGTGTTAAACGCGCGGTAAAGCTTCTGTCTTTCCCAACCCTATAAGAATGTGTATCTTGCCTGCGAATCGAGCACAACGGTTCTCCCCCGGACACGGCGAAGATTAGATCTTCGGATTCGAAGAAGTAGTAGTCGGCGTAATGCGGCGTTAAATATATTGAATTCGATGCACGCCGGTGCGCGGAACTCGGCGAACAACAGCCAGGCTAAGTGAATTCCCTCGTAACGTCGCCATTTGCATTCACCGGCGAACTAAATTCCCATTGTATCTCTCCCCGAAGTGTTATCGTGCCTTTCCACCATCGCCTATCCACTATTGTTACGGTTTTCGCGAAACAGCAGAAATGTTTCGGGAAGATTCGCGAGCTGGCCGAACGATCGGTATCGTTTTCGCATTGAAATCAGAGACTTCAAGTTGACAGGTTCTTCTCGTTCGACCTTTGTGAAAATTAGTAAAATTTATTGTTCATATTGTGGGAAAATTACAGGGAAGTATATCCGTCACCGTGGAATTTTTATATTATTTTAATTTTTTAAAAAAACGTGTCGCGCTTAGGAACGCAAACTTTTGAATTCTCGTGGAATATCTTGGGAATGTTTCGTAACAAGTCAAGTTAGAAATCCACAATATTTGCTAGAAATATTCGGGAACATTTTTAATATCACAACAGCACGAGTTGTCTGAGGAAATTTTGTTTCTGTATTTCGTAAGTTCGATTCCGTTTGGAACTTCTGCTTCTCAAGAAGTAATTATTTATCGGCATTTGCGACGTGAGAACACTTTTTTCGGGAAAGTTACGTGTTTGAAAGCATTGCTCAACTTTCTCGGCCTTTGATCGACACTTCTTTCCCGAAGGGAGGATTTCAAGCGACTCGAAGACAAGTACAATTTGCGAAATGACGCGCTAACAAAATCTTCTCGTTAGCCCCACTTGAATTATTTCCTGCCAAGAATCGTGCTAATTTTACGACGGAGGAACTAGCTGCATTAAAAAGAAAAAAAAAAAAAAAAAAAGAAAAAGAAATTACGTGTTTGCGTGATGAATCTTTTTTTTTTTTTTTATCAAATGCACGATAAATTGCTATTAAAGCATGTCGTTAAATATATACCGCGACGCTCGTTAAAAGTTGCTTCTATAAAAAGCGCCCCATTAAAAAAACCGTTTCATTCAAGTATCTCAAAGCCTCCCTCTTCTAAAAAAAATGCCGTCGCTAACAACTTCGGTGGAAGTTTTATTTAATAGAAATTATTATTAGCATATCTGCCGATGTATCTGACTTATACTTCAGCTCGTACCAATTTAATCTCACGGTACAACAACGCTTGTTTAAGCCCTCTAATCATAATCTAACCGTTACTTATCGTTGTAATTATAGACTTTTGTAATCGTTTCGTTCTTCATATCACCGTGCGCCGCGTGTCGGAGGAGGAATAAATAATCATCAAAATTCTTGGAAATTTACAAATTAATCGCAGAAACGAACGTGCGAAATTATAGGATAATAAATCAATCACGGCCGACCGAATTAATTGTGACTATCAAAGTTTCCAGGAATTTCGCGGAGCGAAACAGTTGCAACGATCAACGAGATTGCAGGAATTAATTCACAAAGTTGCCCATTCATAAATCCTCGATAAAAGTATCCCGAAACTGATCGTCACGGAACACAGTGAAATTCCGAATTGCGTAATTGCGAAAAATTGGCGAGAGCGTCGGTGTCCCGAAAATTGCAGAAGTTTACTCCTCGAATCAAGTGTGCGTCAAAATTGCCAAAGTTGCTCGAAGGAGAAAGAAACTTTTTCTTCTTTCTTCCATGTATAAATGTTAGATGTATCGATTCGATCAATCATCGGGGAACTCGTCGAGAAGCGTACTCGGTCTCGATATCTTGTGATCACCGAAAATCTCTCGCGAGGAACGAGAAGTTGGATGGAAACGAGAAAGTTGCCGGTCGAAGTTTCCGAGCTGTTAAGACCGGGCAGCCCGGCTGATCGATAGCCCGCTTAAAATAGCGTCGTGATATTAAAATTAAAATTTCCACCGGTTCAACCCCTAAATTTAGGATCGCGTTTAGGGGCGCCCCGTGTACTACGAGCATGTCGGCCGATAAACACGCGGTTTTATCGCGGCCGCTCTTGTTCCTTAATCTTGATCGAGTGGCCGCCGAAAACGAACGTTTATTCCGAAACGAGCTTGCGAATCAGCCAATCGGCAGCCGCCTTTATAATCAATTAATAATAAATCCGATAATAATAAAAACGAGATACCAACGAGTTGCACCGAGTCTCAGCCTTGAATCTTGATGACAGTCCTCTCTTTTCTTCTTTCTCGAAATGAAGCTCGCTTTGTTTGAACTCACGCATCGTCTCGATCATCGAATCAACGAATCGTCAATTGAATCGTG